GGGTATTAAAAAACTTAATAGGCAATAAAAAAGTTTCTTTTATCACATATTTTACCCTTTATCCCGTTGTGTGATATCGTTTTCGTATCAACACTATGTACTCCTATGCCGCGTGACGTAATGTAAATAAACAAATACATGTGTATGATGGAGAGAATGACTAAAATGTCAAATTTCACTTTATTTGATTTATTTTAATAAAAATTCATTCATGATTTTAAAAAAATAAGCGCTGAAATATTTTTTCTTTTATATCTCTACGAACTATTTCATAAAGCGTAATTTTATTTACTACGTTATTTGGTCTGAGGTAACCGGTCTAAGGAACTAAATTGAATTAGAAATAACGATAAAATACACATTTATAGTGAACAAAAATATGTGATAAAAAGAATCTCCCATGGTTTGTGGTTTGATATGATTTTTATCCAACTCCATTGGATGTTTTCTATCCCCTCGCCAAGGCTCGGGGATAGAAAACACACAACTCGTTGGATAAAAATCATAATCAAACCACAAACCATAGGAGATCCTATATATATCAAATTTTTTACAACTTGAGTGCTGATCAGTCAAGTATCCAGTAGTTTGAAATAATTTAATTTCTTTTCGTTAGCATAAGCGAACTATTTAATGTGTAGAGTGTTCAATATGTTTTCTTGTAAGCGTATGAATTAGATACGCGCTTTATTATGTGAGTAAAATGTCTTGGGTATTTAAACAGCTGTTTACGTATTCTATTCATTCGAGTTCATACTCAGCTAAAAAGTACAATGTATGAAGAAAATCAACACGAACAAATCATATTTTTCTTAACAGTTATTTTGATATTATACTTTTTATCGTTGTAGAATGTTAAGTTTTCACGAAGATGATAAGCGCTGTCCTTGATTTACAACTCATATTTTCAGAGGATGATAATTTTTTCAGAATTGTACATTATAAGTAAAATTAAAATATATTTAGAATTGTACATTAAATCTCAAATATAAAATAAGATTTCAACATTGGAGTCTGCTGAGGAAGTCTGTTGACAAAACTTTAAACTGTACATTATATAAAGGGAAAGAACAGTGAAATATTTTGTATTGAGCTGAGTATACAACTCATAACTAATAAATGTTTTGTTTGTTCTGAATTTAGTCTCTTTCAATTATGGTTCAGAAAAGAAATGTTTTATTTGCGGATGAACAGATTGAAGAGGAAAATAATGAAAGAAAATGGGGTCAGTGATGTTAATTTTGAAATACTTGTCAAAATATGTGATTTTCAGGCAAAAGATGGTGTAAATTTAACCTTGACTTCTTTAATATATTTTCATTTTTTGAAAAAGTTTATTGAGGGAAGGTGTAAAAATTGATCTAAAAATATAAATTAAGACCTATATTAAATATTTTTAGCAATATCAAAACGGAAAATATTCACCGAGTAAAAGTATACTAGTATGAGGCTAAATTTCCATTACATTAAATTTTATAAATTTGCAGATTTGCAGAGTTTTCTGCTAAATATCCTTCCACCAAAAGAAATAGTCCATCACAAATCTTTCTTCTTTGTAGATTTTTGAGCAGTTTTTTCATTGAATGTTTAAAAATTTACATTGTTGAATTTAAATACAATGTATGTTATAAAAATTGAATTTTGATAAGTAGTTTTGAAGAAAAAGCTTCTGCGTGAACTTTTCTAAAAGGCTGACGAGTGACTTACCTTAATGCAAACACACAAACAAGAGGCCCAAGGACCTTACAGGTCACCTGAGTACATGTATTATGCAACACTGTAAGGATTCACTTTAGTATGAAATAAAACTAGATGCCGTCTAAAAGACAGTTATACCCACAAGCAAGCGTTTTCTCCTAAATGCAGTATTCGTTCTATTTAGGTGTTAATTTCTATTATCTAAATGAAATATATTTGTGTTTTGAATTCAGTAAAAAGAAATGCACATATGAGCATGTGACTAGTAGGCATATTGCATTAGTATTTTAATACCGTCTTTACTGTTCTGAAAATGAAAAATATGTCATAATATATCAGGGAAGGGGAAAGTTCACTTGTGTCCAAAGCTGCAAACCCAACGCAATTGACCTAGCCCAAATGAAATACCCAGTATAACTCATCTATCTTCAAATCATTTGACAATGTTTTTTCTGTCATGTTTGCCTCTTCTACTCCCTCATTGAAGTATCTCTCTATGTGCAACATCCTCAAGTTTCAGACACCAACCTGCAATCACAGATCTTACTGGCTCCATGCAGTGGTTTATTGTTAAAGGTGAACATAATGAATACTGATCAATTTAAACAATGTACATGTATGTAAACAAAAGAACTACACAACTGTGTGAAGAGGACATATCAGAGGAAAATCGGAAATGTCAGAGGTGGGATCAGGTGCCAAGGAGGATTAAGCATCCCATGTTGACCTTTCACATCAACTGTGAGTCCTTAGTATGGATAAAATAAACAAGTCAAATTAAGTATTAAACAAAGCAGTGGCATTAAATTTAACTATTTCAGTTGGGGAGTGGATGGGGGCCACCATATATTTTCAGTTGAGGACACTACATGTACGAACCCATGCCCTACGGTTTCTACAGCTATGAAAAGGCCTTACAATTGAAATGACACAAGTCAGCTAACAACACAACGATTAGTTATATTTGCAAATTAAATGCTTACTTGCAAAATTGTTTTGCAAGTGTGAAAGGGCGAAAATAACCCTGTATACAGTATTCATAAATTAATATATGGACAGTGCTAAATACAGTACCATACATTTGGTTTGTTCCGTAAAATATACTGAATGAGCATCAACAATCTGAAAATAAAAAAGAATGGGCTTTTAAAGAGAGATTTTTTTCTTCGATTTTTGTTTAGAGAGTTAACTCTTGCATGGAAACCAAGACAGGCTACTCACTGATAAGTTGATGTTACAGGGACTTAAAGTTAGCATTTCGTAAATATTAAAGTCATTTCATTTCATAAATATTAAGGTCATTATAATTACTTTTCGTAATTATTAAGGTCATTACATTTCGTAAATATTGAGGTCATTACATTTCGTAAATATTAAGGTTATTATAATTAACTTATTAGCAAATATAATCTATCATTGGCTAGTTTTGAATTATATACTGGTTTGTATGTCAAAATAAAAACATTTTAATTTTATTTTCGGGCAGGCAAAAATTTACTGAGAATCTAGCAATATATTAAGGGGGTCCCAATTATTAAAGTTGAGTGACGGATCGGAATTCTACCTTTATTTTCCCCATTTCATTTAAATCATGCATTTAGATATTATTCATTAAGTTTAAAACTTCCTTCATCCCGACATCCACTTCTTTTTACTTATCTATATAAAGATTTAAAAAAAGATTCTTCAGTACAACTGTATGATTATGCTACCATGTAATTTGGACCTATATATACTGTAAAAATGGACAATATGTAGATATGTGCTAAACATATAGATTTTAGCTCTCCTCGACGGCATTAGCGAAGGCCCCCCAGGTTAAAGTTTTAGGAGCAAGTCCATTCCTAAGTAACTATAAGCCTTACCTGAACAAAACTTGCATGGCTGATGCATCTAGGGATGGACACTACCATACTTGCTTGAGATGCTGGATCTGACTTTCATTTTCTAGATGAGTGACCAGGTTAAAGTTTTGCAGCAGTTCCATTCCCATGTAACTATAAGTCCTACCCAGACCAAACTTGCATCGATGCTGCATCTAGGGATGGACACTACCATACTTGCTTCGGATGCTTGATCTGACCTATATTTTTCAGATGAGTGACCAGGTTAAAGTTTTTGGAGCAGGTCCATTCCCAAGAAAATATAAGGTCTACCTTGACCAAACTTGCATGGATGATGCATCTGGGGATGGACACTACAAGACGTGTTTTGGGTGCTGGATCTGTCCTACATTTTTCAGATAAGTGACCAGGATAAAGTTTTTGGACCAGGTCCATTCCCAAGGAAATATAAGCCCTACCCAGACCAAACTTGCATGGATGCTGCATCTAGGGATGAACACTATCAGACGTGCTTTGGATGCTGGATCTGACCTGCATGCTCATTCCCAAGTAACTATAAGCCCTACCTGAACCAAACTTGCATGAATGATGTATCTAGGGATGGGCACTATCAGGCTTACTTTGGATGCTGAATCTGACTTATATTTTCCATATAAGAGAGCAGATTAAAGTTTTGGGAACAGATTGATCCCCATGAACTTGAAGTCCTTGATATCTGCAGTATTAACAAATTTATGAATATTTGTTTCCACTATACATTTTTCACGCTACATGCATAGAAATGTGTATATACCATATAAGGGGTTAAACACAACCTTGCACATATTTCGACATTGGCTTATTTACTTGAAAATTTAACTATTAAAACGCGAATTCTATTGAAAGCAGCAGCACTTTTCAGAACCTACAAAGTATGCATAAAGAATTAATAGCTTGAATTTTTAATTTCAACTAGGGTATGCCCTTGCAATACTGAAATTTGTTCATGACCTACATTCGGTACACGAACTATGCATTTATCACGTGACTATCCATCGATGGGACTTAATATCATACAGTGCAGAGTGTGTTTTACTATGCTTTTTCATTAAGGTTCTGAGATTTAAAAAAAAACAGTTTAATTAAAATAAATTCAATTTTTAAAATACCCCTTTATGCACGTCTTTTTTTCCGTTGATTTCTCATAGTAGGCCTTAACAGTACTGCGTCGGATAAATACGAGATATTAAGAAAATATGACGTGAGATTTGCATAATTTCACTGATAATTTTAGTCGAGGTGAGCTTCGTAATCTTTGATTACCTCTGTTTATCTATTACTACTGCTACATTTAATATGAAGTTGTATATATATAAGTAACTAGATACAAAGGCCTTTCACATATTTCTTTGTATGTATGTGTTCGTCATATATATAATTTACTTGTCCGATTGCCCTGTCAGTACAGAATGTGTAATGTCATACATCTATTTTAGTCTGACTTGTTATATACTGTAGATAGTCCTGCCTCTCTATGTGTCTGTATAAACACAAGCTCTTTTCCCCGTAGGATACTCCAACCCAGAGAAGATGAGTTTTGTCGTCATAACTCAGGCCCATTGGTCTATTCATACCTTGTCGTCGTGTCAGTATCAGAGACAGGAAGTGGCCGTCCCTGTCAAGCATATGTATTGTGCTGGTGTTAAGATCACACACCAGGATGTTTGACAAAACGTCAGTACAGACTCCACGTGGATATAGCGCTGATACTGATGTAGGACCTCTGTAGGAGAAACGATGTCTTCCTCCACGATTTGTCACCACTTCACTAAAGCCAGACGCAATAATATCTCCATTGCGGTTCTCTGTGATGTAAGAAAGATAAGAAAATAGTTCCTGGCCTGTGTTGCCGTGCTGTATAGTCTGTTTGAGTTGTCCTTTGTCATTATAGCGTGCTATTATTACTGAATAGTTGGAATGCATTCCAACCAGTATATCGCCGTTGAGGTGGGAGGAGTAAATACATAGTAGTATCCATGGGTTTTTTTGTTCATCAGTGTAGACTTTGTTCTGTAATCTTTAGAGAGTTTGATAATGCTACTATCCCTGTCTATATAAATAAGATCACCAGTCAGATTCACTGTGTGTTGTCCCCAAAGAGTCATTACATCTGTCAGATGATATAGTATGTCACCGTCTGAGTTTATCAAGATAAGATTTTCACTATTACTGATCCAGGCCCGGTCTGGTGACACACTGGAAATATGATATACTAGTATTTCACCTGGTACAGTGACAGACCTGTGTAATACAGGAGTAGACATCAGTTTCAGCAGACATTCATTTCTCACTTGTCTTTTACCTGTCTTTATTATTTGGATTTCACCCAGTAAATCAGTCACATCCTCTGTGTTGATTTTTTCAATCAGACAGACGAGGGCGTATTGTGTGAGATTAGGAGTGTCCTTTAATTTGTGTACACCAGTTGTCTTTAGGAATATAAGGAATTTAAGCGGTCTCTTTTCCAAGTGGTCAGATCTGTGTTCGAAGATTTCTATACTAGCAGAATGTCTGTTTATTTTTCTCCTCTGCTGTTGTAAACTTTGAATAATTTTTTTGCATCTGATTTTAACATCACATATGACAGCGTCTATAACGTACTTTATATATTGTTTCTGAGCTTTTATTAACATCTTTGACTGATTATTTGAGATTTCTGGGTGATAGGTTTTTATATCAGCTTTGATTCCTGCCAGAACACAACTGTTGTTATAGAGAGTCTCACTTCTGATGTTGTGAATGATATCTTTATGTTGTTGTCTGTTTGTTTTATATGCTACTCTTATATCCAGTACATGGTGATTTTTGTGTTCTTTACATTTGACACAGAGGGGAATTTCACATGAGTGACAGTACTTGTCATAAACTTTCTCTGGATGTCTCACAAAGGGATCTTGTTTTGAAATATAGTCATATTTCTCACGGCAAATCACAACGTCATTGTTTTTGGTGTGTATATCAATAATATGTCTCTCTTTACACTGTAGACACAGGTCATGTTTACACGTCTTACAGTAGACTTCTGTGTCCCCCTGACATTGAGAACACTGCCAAACTTTACACTAGGTCTTGAATCTTACATTGTCCATGATTTTAAAGCGCATTCGGTAGTTATAAAATCTGTACAAATAAATTAATTATACATGTATATTAATGAAATATTTCAGGTTTAAAAGCATCTTAGAAATATGCATTCTGTTTCTTTTTTAGAAGAATTATTTAAGAAAAAGTTAAAATTAATCATCTAAAAGAAAATTTAAGCATCATTGTACTCAATGCATGCATTTTTCACGTGCCTGTTAAATCAGTTGACCAAACTAGATTAAATACAGGAGGAAGGAAAACCAATGAAGGTCATCAAATCGATATCAAATACACCTGGTTATATAAGTTACACAATATACAATTCGTTTACTTCTCCCTCCCTCTCTGCGTGTCTGTCTGTCTGTCTGTCTCTCTCTCTCTCTCTCTCTCTCTCTCTCTCTCTCAACTTAATCTTAATTAAGTTATCATATACTGATTATTGTTAGATAGTCATACATATCAAATCGAAATTAAACAGAAATATATTTTTAAATATATATTGTTAATCATGACTCTGTGTTCAATTTAAAATGGAATCAAATTACTTACTTATCAAATGTTTACAAATCCAAATATCGGAATAACACACCTTTTGTACATTAAAATGCTTCTTTTTTCTATCTGACAATGCGATTCAAAGTACGGAACCTTGCATTTAAATTGGTCGTCGATAATGATCATACAATGACTGCCAATAGAACAAAATGAATTAAAAACACACAAATCTGTCTATAGAAAAGAGGCATGAAAATTATGTACTTTGAATGACTTCAATGAAACATCAATGTTATCTGTGAAGATTTGACGGCAGTCACACTATGCTTTATAATCCTTGAATGAGTAGATGGTAATAAAAATATATCTAACTTTACTGACAACAAATAACGAGTGTAAGCAAAAAGTTTGAAATGTGACGTCACAATCACAAGTATGACTTCAGAGTAGGTCGTACGAAAATCTTAAGTGAAACTGATATCATAAATATTTTGTAGTGTATTTCATGTGATATTTCCAAAATAAGCGCGAGGAAAATATGTAATAATATTGGAAGTTACTTTTACAAAATCTATTTTATGTGTATTTTGATTTTTGTGGTTATATTTAGATATTAAAATCAGTTTGAAAATACTTAAGAGAGGGTACGGGCTCTCGTAAAGTTACGATAGATTTTGCACTTAGGATTATCTTAAGAATTTTTGTGAAAACGACTTTTATTGTCAGTCAGGCAACCAATGGATGGGAAGCTGTAGACACAGTCTGGTCGCCATGGTGTTTTATCTCTAGAACGTTTATCAATGTTATGATCACTGTCTATATATATATGAGATCACCGGAGATATTAACGGTGTTTACCGCATAGCCCCACTGTTTTATAACAGCCAGAAAATGTAGTGTGTCACCTTCTGTATCACTGATCCAGACCAAGTTTTATGTCACGCAGGAAACGTGTCTTATATAATTAACATATGTTACTGTTTCAATTCTGTTTAACACGGTGATGACGTATGACATCAGTTTTAGCAAACACGCATTTCTGACATGTTTTTTTTCTTGTCTCTTTTACTCGAATATTACTCAAACGCATTATAACATCCTTCATATTGAATCTCTCAGTAAATATAGCAGGGTGTGTTGTGCGAGATTAAGGGTGTCTTTTATCGTACAGACCTGGGTTTTCTTGTAGAATAAAATGAATGGTCGATACAATGACCTCGTCAGCAAATACAATTTATCATTGAATGAAATGCTGACTGATGTTTTTCATACCAATTGCTAGTTCATTATTTACACACTGATTTGACCACGGATTTTTTCCGTTATTTCCTGATTATTACTACGAGCACACGGCGGGTGTGACCGATCGGCAGGGGATGCTAACTCCTCTATGGCACCTGATCCCACCTCTGATGTTTCGGAGGTCCGTGTTTGCTCTGCTCTTATTTTGTATATTTGTATAATGGACGTTGAGATTGAATACTGTTCGTTATTTCCATATCCTTCTATTAAAGACTGTTCACATCTGTCTTAAAAGTTTTCTATGCTAGCAAGATTTCTGTCTATTTTCTCCTCGTTTTTTTTAGTCTATACAAAAGGGTTTTGTGTTTTATTTTAACATCACATATCACACACTACTGGATGAAAAAAGTGCTGAGAATCCCATTTTTTTTTACTGGTTATGTTTTATAATTACTGACACGGTGCTGTACTTGCTGATAATAACTTATATTTACTGTTATTACTACTGGTGATGCTGATTATTTTAGTTGTTGCTGATAAATACTGATAATTACTGTCGACTTTCCTGTTGAGACTGATAAATACCGTTGATGACCTTCAAGGTTCTTTCCAAAGCTCCATAAATCACTTGTAATTTTATATTGTGTCATTATAATAAGAAACATTGGTATCTAAAGAATGCATTTATGGGAAAAAAAATTCTACTTTAAATTAGGCCTTTCTGCGAAGTCTCTAAGAACATTAAAGCACATTGAGAAGCATATAAAGAAAATTCTTGCATGAAAATATTAAATTCTTAAATTTTATTTATAGTTTTTAGAATTACCCAACCTATTATGATTTTGAAGTATTTCCTCCTTTGAAACGCAAGTATGTCCTTTTTTGAATCGCTTATAAGTCGGATATAGACTATTGGGCTAAAATGTAACTCACAAAAAAACTACGTATAGGGAATTAATATATACGGTAAATTATGAATTAAAGAGTTGTCCGTCTTGGCTGAGGGTCGAAATCCCTTAACTGCTCTTCTTTTTAGAATTGAAAGACGGTAAAATTGTTTGATTAAAATCTCAGTTATAGTGAATTGTATGTTTGAATTAGCTAATAATCACAGATCTTAAAACATTGCTGTGACGTCAAGCCTTTGTTCTCGCAGTCTAAAAAATTTACCTGTAGCCGTCCGATAATAATAATTACCAGTCTGATAATATATAATCGGATGGCAATGATAACAAAATTGGACGGTATAAAAACAAAAAGAAAAGTGAAATTAAGATTAAATATATCCAGAAACCCCAGATAAAAATGTTAGGAAAAAAATCAGGAAAACCAAATGCAAGGAAATTAAGTTAATCATACTACAAAATAACAAATTCATGACAAAAATCCGTGTTTAAATTTTCCACAACATTAATATTTTCCACTCTTTAAAAGAGTTTTTGATTCAGCACTTTGAATAAGCAAATTTAAATCCACTTCTGAAAAAAGATTCTGCAATCTCTTTTTGTTCCCCGCTTGAAAAGTGGTGGATATTAATTTGGGTTTGTCTATCCGTCTGTCTTTCTGTCTGCTGTCTGTTACGCTTTCGTTTCCACACGATATCTCGAGAACCCTTTGAACTTTTGCAATGAAATTTAGCATAGCAACTCCCTGTGGAATAAGAAGAACCCTATTGATTTTGAGGTGAAAAGTCAAAGATTAAAGTCACAAATAAGCAAATTCTGTCTGTTATAACACTTTCGTTTCCATACGATATCTCTAGAACCATTTGAGCTATTGCTATGAAATTTACGATAACAACTCCCTGTGGCCTTAGGAAGACCCCAATTGATTTTGAGGTAAAAAGGTCAAAGTTTAAGATCGTAAATTTATACATTCTGTCTGTGTGTAACACTATCATTTCCGAGCAATATTTCAAGAAGATTTTGAGCTTATGTAATGTAACATTATACCAAACTCCCTAGGACCTCTCTCATCCCTCTCAAAGTGTCCCGCCTCGTTTGTTTTACTAGTATTTATCGTTTTACCTGTCGCTATTTTTAGCACAGGGGTATGCGGTGTCGTAGACGATCACGTGCTGTAGTCGCGACATCTGAGAACTTCCGAAGGGGAACGAGTGACGTCACACAATAAAAGTAATAGCTACAGTGACGCAATATCTATAAATAATTCAAGAGTATCTTAACAAATGCCATATATCAATGTAGCTATGGCCCAAGGATCATGAAACAGACTTAGACTTAAGTCAAAATTTCTATCATCTGTAAAATTTTAAAAACTTGTTAAAGGAAACTCTTAATTTGCATATGACAGCAGAATGATAATACAAAATCGGAAAGCATTTTCATTTTGGGCTGCTTAACCTCTTAAAAAAATTAGCATCTAAGACATTTTTTGACTTAAGCTAAGATGTTTCATAATCCCGGGCCTGATTTGTTATAAACTGTAGATACAGTACTGATCGAATACAACCTAATAGAAAGCGAACCCAGAGCGGACCCATGGTTCGCTCTGTGGGTTCCCTTCGAGTTCACTCGGGGTACGCTAGGGCTGATCCCGAGCGAACCCGTAGCGGAGACAGAGAAAACCCCAAATTCAGTAGCGATCCCAGAAAACGATTGCTCGTTCGGTATTTCTTCACAGAGCTGTCAATCAGGATCAGCGATTTAACCAATCAGTGTGTCGACAAATCAAACTTGCATATTGATCTGTCGATTGGGATAAAAGATCGAATGTTTGACGTTATTCGATATAAATCCAAACTTTGTACACACAAGGAAAGTGTGTTAATATACAATATGAACCAATAATGATAATTGTAAAATCCTACCTTATATTTCTATATTTTTAATTCTCCGATCTGGGCTGTATGTTATATTTTTATATATTTTCTTTATTTTATTAAAGCAATTAATGAATTATGCATTTTAATTTTCCAGGTAGATAGTTACATGAATATTTATCTATTTGTTTTCTTTAATTTTTATACCAGTATTTAGAGTCCATTAAAAAAAAAATTATTATAAATTGGGAACATATATCAGTCCTTTCGTAAAAGAAAAAAAAGATAATAATTTATTTGGCATTTACTGTAAACCAACTTTTATTCGGGACGACTTTATTTCGCGATTGACAGGGAGAGAACTAGTTCGCGACGAATAATTTTCGCGATCAAGCAATTTTTGGAACTGTTTTTAATAGAAAAGGAGACTTTAAGGGCACGTTCGCGGTGAGAAATATTCGCATTGCCGAGGCTCTTGCGAATATCGCGAAAATTTCTCGCACGCGAATAAAAGTTGGTTTACAGTAATTTTTGCTTAAAAAATAACAAGACAAAAAAGACTGATCTTTGACAAACTGTATAATTTTATTATATCAAGATACAGCACAAGAATATGTCGAACGTGCATGCACGTGCTCATTATTCAATTACTTTATTCCATTCTTTCAATCTAAATTTTCCCTCAAATTAATTAATTTAACATTATTGATATTCTTGATCCAGTATGAAAAAAATCAACATGCACGTACATCTTCCTGTATATTCATTAATAGAAAATAGGAGTGGCAGAATGACTCGTAGAAATTTAACAAAAAATCATCAGGTTTTATTTTTCAAAACTAATTTAATGATGAGAGTATACAGCTACGACCTCTTTTTTTGTCTTGATTTTTTCCAGTATAATAATAAGAAATATTTTTAATAATTTTAAATTTTATTATGTGTGTAAGTAGAGGGGTATATAAATATATTCTTATCGGGAGAACAGTTATTAATTGCCATTTATTTGTTTTTCATTCTGATTAAAATTATACTTGCTCCATAATTCTGAGAGTAATAAAGATCCGATACAATCTATTAATCATTTTGGAAAATGTCCGTTAAATATATTTTTTAACTTCCAATGAGTAACTAACAGGGTTGTACTCGACTTTCGTTCGAACTATGCTCATTTCATGTATTTGCAGAACAATATTTTCATATGTTAAATTAAAGGTATGGTATATCTATTCAAAGGAAAGTATTTTTACGTCGATGTATGTTCGGCAAACATGTCTTCAAATTCTACAGTTTTTGTATAGCTTAAAAAAGGTAAACAGTGTTGTCAAGGTTATGTGAAAGAGAGTTTTTTTTCTGCACTGTAACATCAAACATGATGTATCATATGCCGAATCAGTCAAACATAAATACAGTCTTCAAGTGTAACTTTCCTATAATAAGTTCTCCGCATAAATGACAAAAAGGCAGAGTGGGAAAGAAAATCAAACATGTGTATTTATTTAATAATTATTTACCTCTAACTTTTTTTTAAATGGAGAGGGCAATTGTTTATTTTTTGTAGATTCAAATAAGATCTGACGTGATACAACAATTCAGAAAGTATATTAATTATCAGTAAACAGCTATTAAAAATTGTAATTACATGTACATCGGGGACAGTTAATATGAGAGTAATAAAACCATGTTTTTCTTGGATGTTATTTTCATAAAATTATTGATTGTCTGCACAAAAAATACATAAGTTTAATTTATCCCAAGCTCTCACTCTCTGTTTGATTTTATTAAAGACATGCACGCTTTAATTGTTTACCTGTTAAAGATCATTGACGGACACAAGGTTTCACTTATGGGGTATATGAACTGCCATTGTGTAAAGAAAAGACAAATACGGACGTTTTGTATCCTGCATTTAGATAAAACGTGCATATAATATATTGATTTTGAAATTAAATACATTGATGTACAGATTTTATTGCACTCCGTACATCGTAATAGTTCAGAAAGTCGTTGTATTATGATAATAGCGTAGATTATATATTGTAAACTAGTCTGTAAAATACAAACAGTGAAACTGGTACGAATATGTTAAAATTGAATGAAAATTCAAATATCGTTCGACTAAGGCATTCGGCAGTCCGAGTAAAATTGACATCCTTAAAAACTACTATAATGAAATCTAAATATATTACGTGTACAACAGGTTTATAAATGAATACTGTTATTCAGTATTTATCAAACTTAAACTACGTTTAGCAAAACATAAAGAAAAACAAATAAAATTTAGAACCATATTACGTATGAATTTGAAAAGTATTTAGATACTTTTGTCAGTTTCACGTAAACATCATTAGATCCATTCAAAATCAATTCACCACCATTTTCGTCCTCCGCAAGTGAGTTAAGGCTAAATATGGGTTTTTCCATGCAAATGAGCTAATAAATATGCATAAATTGTTTATTTTATGTACAGAGAAAGTTCAAATATATTTTTTTTATACACACTTATTACAAACGGTATATAAATGCAAGTGACGTCATATTATGACGCCCTTGCGCCAAAGCAATTTTGTTGATGTTTCTTATAATGTGTGTAGAGAAGGCTGATGATATTATAATACCTCCACGTAGCCTTGACTCACTTGTTTCTCGGGATCAAAATTTCGAAAGCGGAGAAACCAGGGAAATAATTATTTATAAATCTACGTCGAATGTATAGTTGAATTTTAAATCATTTATAAATGAATCTATGTTGTCCATAATCTAACTGTATACATATACAAGGTACATGTATCAATCGCCACTAAAACAATAAAGATCGATACCGCAATTCCATTACTGTATTGTTATACATTAATACAAGGGGTTAGGCTTACTGGTGGCGCTGTCCATTTCAGGCATCATTACGTAAAGCGTTCCAAGAAAGCAAACGCCGGGTTCGCTCTTGCACCAAAGCTGGCCCAAAGCGATAGGGGAAGGGAACCGGAGCGCACCCAAAACGGTACCAAAATTTCTAAAAGCGAATCCATAGCCAGGCCTGAGCGATTTCGCAAAACGAGCCCAGAGTCTGCTTCGGATTTGCTCTAGTGTAAGGTTGTATGCAGTCGGTACTATTGTCCTGCCTCTATGTGTCTGAATACACACACTTTTTCTTCCTTTTCTTCCTTGGAGGATACTCCAACCAAAAGAAGATGAGTTTTGTTGTCATAACTCAGACACGTTGGTCTGTATGTCCCTTGTCGACTTGTCAGTATCAGTGACAGGAAGTGACCGTCCCTGTCAATCATATGTATTGTGTTTTTGTTACTGTCACACACCAGGATGTGTGACAGAACGTCTGTACAAATTCCACGTGGTGATAGGCCCGATCCTCGTGGATTTCCTGTGTATGAGAAACGATATTTTCCTCCACTCTCTGTCACCACTACAGAACCATGATCAGACACAATAACATCTCCATTCTGGTTCTCTGTGATGCAAAAAGGATGAGAATACAGTTTCTGGCCTGTATTGTCGTGGTTTATTATCTGTTTGCGGAGTCCAATATCATTAAAGCGGGCTATTATGCCTGAATGATAGGAATGCATCCCGACCAGTAAATCACCGTTGAGGTGGGAAGAGTAGATACACTGTGGTACCCATGGTTCTTCTTTCTTTATCGGTGTTGACTTTGTTCTGTAATCTTTAGAAATTTTGATAATGTCACCATGCCTGTCCTTAAAAATAAGATCTCCAGTAAGATTCACTGTGTGTTGTCCCAACTTGCTCATTACATAAGTCATATTATGTAGTATGTCACCCTGTAAGTTTATCAAGTTCAGATTTAGACCACTACTGATCCAGACTTGGTCTGGTGTCACACAGGAAATATGAATTATTTCACCTGGCACAGTGATAGACCTGAGTAATACAGGTGTAGACATCAGTTTCAGCAGATTTTCATTTCTCATTCGTGTTTCTCCTGTCTCTACTATTTGGATTCCACTCAGTAAATCAGTCACATCCTCTATGTTGATTTCTCCTTTCAGGCAGACCATGGCGTATTGTGTTAGACTAGAAGTGTCCATTAACTTGTGAACACGAGTCTTCTTTAGGAATATAAGGAATTCTAGCGGTTTGTTTGCCAAATGGCCATATCTGTGTTCAAAGGTTTCTAAACTGGCAAAATGTCTGTTTGTTTTTCTCCTCTGTTGTTGTAATCTTTGAATAAATCTTTTGTGTTTGATTTTAGCATCATGCATGACAGTGTCTATGACGTTCCTTAGTTTCTTGGCTTTTATTGCCATCTTTCTCTGAATGTTGGATATTACTTTGTAACATTTTTCTATATCAGATCTGATTCCTGCCAGAAGACAAGAGCTGTTATAGAGAGTCTCACTTCTGATGTTGTGAATGATTTCTTCGTGTTTTTGACGGTTTGTTTTGTATGCTGTTCTAATGTTCAGTCTATTTTTTTTTCTGTCTTCTTTACATTGGAAACAGAAAGGCAAATCACAAAACTTGCAGAACATTTCATAGATTTTTTTATTTATGTCTTACACAGGTCTCATGTTTTGTAAAGTAGTCAATTCTCATGGTAAATCACGACATCATGGTATATATTATTTAGATCTATAACATGTCTCTTTTTACACGGTAAACATAGGTCCTGTTTACACGTGCTACAGTAGCATTATGTGTCCCCCTGACATTGAGAACACTACCGGACTTTACACTTGGTCATTTATCTTACATTGTCCATGATTAAGAGCCTCATTCGGTAGTTACAAAATCTGTACAAATAAATCAATTTCATTTAAAATAAACATTTCAGATTTTTAAGCATCTTTATGATATAATATCTTTGTTTAGTAAACTAACTTTAGTAAATGTTAAATCAATCATCTAAAAGTAAAACTACGTGTCACAGTACACAATACAAACATGTGATTATCATATCAGTTGACCAAACTAAATTTTAGACGGGGGAAGGAATGGCAATCCAGGTCATTTAATTGATATCAAATACACATTGTAATATATAGCTTATACAACCTACAATTTGTTGACATCTCGCCCTCTCTCTCTGTCACTCTTTCTGTCGTTCTCTCTCTCTTTCTCTCTCTCTCGTTCTGTCTCTCCCTCTCGTTCTCTATCTCAACATAGTCTTAATTAAGATCAGTTATCATATACCTATCACTGTTAGATAATCATAAATATAAAATCAAGATTAAATAGAAAAATATTTCTAAAATATATCGTTAATCATAATTCATTGTTCAATTTAAAAGGGAATCAAATTACTTACTCATCCCAATATTTACGATGTTTTCAAATCCCGATATCGGAATAACACACCTCTTGAAAATAGAAAATCTATCTGAGAATGCGATTCAAAGTATTTGACCTTATATTAGAATTTAACGTAGAAAAAGATTACAGAAGAACACAATGAATTTAAAAACACGCAGACTACCTAAAGAACAAAGGATTGACATAAAGTTTTGACATGAGAATAATGTCCTTTATATAAATGCGAAAAACATCAATGTTATCTTGAAAAAAATTAACGGTATTATTGATTTATCATTTTAACAAGACCTATAGGGCAATATTCTTTTCATATTACAAGTACCCTAGGAAGTGCTCCAGCTATTATTGTTGTGATCCATTTAAATCGAGGTAAGATTTTATCGTCATCCACCTTGCGAATCGTAAATTAGCATATACAATCAAGTGATTTCATTGGTTCTTCTTTATACATTTACATTTACATACGATATATTCTCACATCCCTTTTAAACAGCTATTTCATGTTTACGTAGTAAGCAGTCTGAACTCTGTCTTTGGTGTAATGACAGTTAAACTGTGTTCGGGTAATTGAAATAAAATCTATAGGTCATGAAATATACAATTTTAAGATTGTTTCATCTACTCCCGACTAATTTTGTGGATATAAATTTAGTCTATCGTTCTGTATTCTGTCTGCTATCGGAAAGTCAAGCCAGAAAAAACAAGACATGAATAAATCCCTGCATCCTAGTAATTCACTTTTTGCGATATTAGAAATGTCATATTTTGAATTGAATTACAATTTTAATTTGCAATGAAAATATGCCAAGAGCACCATTTACTTAACAATAAATTTGTGTGATTTAATGTATCTAAAATTATTTCAAGACAAGCAAATTCAAAGAATTGTGGTCCCCGGCTTTCGGTTTCTTTGTGGATGAGATGTTATTTCTTATTACATATTGTGTCTAATATGAACACAATATATCCTATCATATGTCATTTATGTAGAAATTTTCATTGAAATCGATATTTTTTGAAGGATGAAACCTTAATCCTGACCGTTAAAAAGTTATGGCCAAAGTAAAAAAGCTTTTTAAAAAGTAGGTCAAATCCAAGATCAAGATCAAAAGGTCAAATCTATTTCTATTCAATGGACGTTTTTCTCACAAGGATAATAATGTGAAGTATGAAAGCCCTAGCCCTTACTGTTAAAAGTTATGGTCAAGGTTAAAGTTTTTTCATAAGTACGTAAATCTTTAAGGTCTAGGTCAAAAGGTCAAAGTTGTTGATATCCAATGAAAGGACTAGCAACAAAGAATACATATATGTATATAAAATATAAGAGTCCTAGTATCTACCGTTTAAAGGTTTGGACAAAAGTTAAAGTTTTTCAAAAAAGTAGTTAAATTTCTAATGTCAAGGTCAAGGGGTAAAAGTTGTTGGTATCCAATAAAAGGTCTTCCCAAAAGGATTACATATGTGAAGTACGAAAGCCCTAGCCCTCACCGTTCAAAGGATATGGTCAAGGTTAAAGTTTTATCATAAGTACGTAAATCTCCGAGGTCAAGGTCAAAAGGTCAAGGTTGTTGGTATCAAATTGAATGTCTAGCCACAAAAAATACATATGGGTACAGTCCACTAATTGTTTTCCCATAGGCGACAATGTTAACGTTTCCTCTCATAGCGATGTCCCTAATTCTCGTTCAGAAGTGAGTGACCCCACAAATCAAAGCAAATCAACTGGTCTTTCCTTGGTTAAAATCTCGAGGTGGCATGTCAGATTCGTTTTCCTACTAAATGCGTCTGTCTGCGGGAACCTTTAAAAATGAAAGTGAAAGTAGGGGAATTTCAGAATTGTAACTGGCGTTATAATACACAAAATAAATCGGCTGATCTTCTTGATAAATTACATTTTCCAAGCTTTTTTGGTAGGAAAGATGCTCCTTATCAACAAGTTTGAGGCTCAGTTTAGTACATCTGCCCAAATTTTTTATGCAAGTCTGCAAATTAAGGAACTTGGAATTTTTTCTGCACTACTTTCTTCTCCTACCGATTCTAAAAATAATATGTGAGATATAAAAGTCCTAGTATCAACTGTTAAAATGTTGTGACCAAGGTTTAAGTTTTTTTAAAAGTAGTTTAAACTCCAGGGTCAAGGTCAAAGGGTGAAAGTTATTGATATCCAATGAAAGGTCTTCTCACTAGGATTACATATGTTAGGAACGAAAGCCGTAGTCCTCACTGTTCAAAAGTTATATTCAAGGTTTAAGTTTTTTATAAGTACGTAAATCTCTAATGTGAAGGTCAAAAGGTCAAGGTTGTTGTTATTCAATGAAAGGACTTGTCACAAACAATATATATGTGAAGTATGAAAGTTCTATTACCTACTATTCAAAAGTTTTTGCCAAAGTAATAGTTTGGAATTTTTGTGTAAAAGTGGTTCAAACTCCAAGGTCAATGTCAAAAGGTCAAATTTGGTGGAACCCAAAGAAAGGTCTTGTTACAAGAAATACACATGTGAAATATGAAGGTCATAGCTCTACTAAATCAAAAGTTATGGGCAAGGTTAAAGTTTTTGGGACGGACAGACTGACAGACTGACAGATTTAATGTCCCCTCGCTTTCGCGAAAGCGGGGGACAACAATGTAAAATCTTTTAACCTGGTTGTGACGCAAAACCTTGGCATCCGGTGAATATTCAGATCACTTCCGATTGAGTGAAATTTTGTCTAAATCTTTCAATTTGTGACGAACATCTTATATAAAAATGGCAATGGTTATTTTGCCAATGTTTTTGTTATAATTAGTGAATCCATTTTAAAAATTTGATCATTGCTTCAAAGAGATACTTATCACACAAAATACAGCTTTCTTGCTTTGAGATTCGTTATGGGGCGCTGGTTTTCGTTCATGATCATTGATTTTCTTTTTGCAATTCTTCAGAAGACACATTGGTTATAATAATATGAAAATATCATACCATTCTATCAATTATCACCTTCAGCGCGATTGTTACGTGGATCTTTACTATTTACAATAATCTGTCGAATAGTCTCACCTCTCTATATATCTTTCTATATAGATTCTTATATGATATTGGCTGATGGAAAGTGATATTGTGTAATTCTTAACGTAAGTCGCGGGTTTACAGGGCTTTTAAAAGTGTTCGTAAACATACCATTAAAATTATCTATATGATTTCCCTACCTTTGATTTCCATTCTCTTAAAATCTTTAAAAATTCATCTGCATTATTTTTGTGTGATTTTCATTGTTGTAGTAAAATTTTCAACGGTATTCCGGTATTCTATTGACGTCCTTTTTGGGCTTGTTTTCAAGCAAGGTTTTTATTTAAAAAATGTCAATAACTTTGAAGTCGTGCAGACGAATTTATTTATTCTTTGGTATTTAAAAATAGAAATTGATTTGAAATAATTCTATGTGAAAAAATCAATATATCTTCGGGCTCATTTTTGCCGCTATTCAATTTAAGATAATTGCTTTTATATTGAAAATTTAAGAACAACGTCATATAATATCGCGACGTCAGGCTGACGTCGTGAATATCGATCCGATATAGAGAGCAAAAAAAAATATACAGATTTTAAGAAAAATTTATACATCTGCTATCAAATGACCAGTAACATAATAATTCAATGAAATAATTATTAGACATCAATATCTTTAAGCTTTATACGTTAGTAATATAAAATTCAAGTTAAAGGTGTTAACCATCAATCAGTCCTTTATATTCTTTTTTATACTTTCTTTATGTGTTTATTTCTTACCGTTTCTTTTCTCTTTGGTTTGTTTACTTTATGCGCGGATTCTTGCCGGAATAAGCAAAAAATAAGTGACCCTTTATTCCCCTCTGGAAAAGACAGACCCCCAATTTTCGCTAAAATTGCAGATTTGTGATCTTTGTTTGTTTGAAAAGTCGTGTGTATGAAGATAATTCAGAAGTCAAGAACTACGCCCCCCCCCCCTTTACATTTTTTGTATATCATTTGTCTTTGGAAAATTCAACAAGACTATCAAATCAACTGTAACTTCTGATGAATCAGTTTCCGCCAGATATCCTCCCGAGTAGAAGCATTAATGCATTTAGTGAATATATTGATTTTTTTTATTCAAGTTTACAAAGGAACAGCTTTTAACATACTTTGATTCTATGCTTATATGTATTGGAATAGAAAAAAAAGCGTACAAGGAATTTCAGAGGAGTAAATGGGAAGACAATTTAAACATTAAATTTATTTGGCATAATCAACAGACATATTCTATTTTGTTCTTAGACTAGCAAGGTGTACAATTAACATTAATTCTACTGAATAAACATGGAACGCAATGCAGTGAATAAAATATGTACGTTTAACTATCACAAACGCAAAACATTACTTACACGACCCTTCCCACTTTCCTTTTTTTTTGAGGTTTTCCTATTTTCGATTTTCAATACGTATTGCTTGTTATTAATTTTGAATAATGTATTTCGTTTTAGACTGCCTTACCTTATCTTCACTTGATCACTATCTAAAGCTTTAAGAATCATGGAATATGCAGACATCGATAAATTTGGAACACATTCTTTTTTCATTTCAGATATCCATTTATATAATTCATTTTGTTCCTGCTATTAGTAATTATTTCTATTAAATCAACATGCACACATAGGGTGGAGTTAAAATTCAAAAATAGAGAAACGTTAAATCACCCCCAGCATTAGCAATTTAAGAAAGGAAAGGTGGAGGGAGTCATGTCCTACGTGCCTGTGGTTATTTACAGATATTTCCATTTCTATTTTTTTTTCTCGAAATAACCCTTTGAAAGTAAGCGGAGTTGATTTCCTGATAGTTCTGCCGGAATGTAAATTAGGCAGGTCGATGAGTCAGCAGGTAAGGAGGCCTAATACGCATGCAAATCTCGTGCACATCTGTCTCTGTGTCTGACGCTAAGGAGGCCAAATATGCATGTAAATCTCATACGGCTGCCTTTGTGTTTGACGTCAGTGTTCAAGGACTAATGAAATTGGTATGGAAGTCCTCGTGTAATTTAAATCGGTTAGTCTACGTTCTTAATGTCTAAGTCTACAATTTTATTTCACAATGAAATGGAAATATAAGAAGTCTAGTCGAACCCTCAAACGGAGTATACCCTATAACGAGGGTTTTCCTTCCCTTAATGCAACGCTCGAAAGCAGAAGAACGATAACTCTTCTTATTTAAAAAATAAATATTTTTTTTTAAAAATCATAAACATACAAAAATGAATTTTTTACACCTCTGTTTTCAATAAAAAGAATAATAAAAATGTTTTAGTCTTTATTTTCGTCATTTCTGAGGCACAAAAGTTTGTTTATAGGACAGAGGAAATTCGAACATGCACAAAGAAAGTGTCGAAAAATAATAAATAACATGCTAAGTTCACAAGAATTTCATTACCAGGAAGGGAATTATATGTAGTTCAACTTTAAACAAGCAATTGTTTGTTTATTCATCCGTTTGATTAAATCATGAATAAAAAATCTAGTTGTATCAAACATGGAGGTCAAGTCACAGAATACGCTAACTTTGGGGGAGAAAAAGTCTCGATTTTTACAATAAACATAATATACTTTTTCGCAATACAATCTCTTTAAAAATCTTTAATCTATCAAATTTGAGTACATACAGAGCTACGAAATAATCCATCACTTTGCACGAGCACATTTTGTGGACCACACGTTTTTCCGTGAAAACGGCACTTTTTGAGTTTCTGCGCATGTGCCTTACGCCCGTTTGAAGTTACGGATTCCAACATCCGATTTCTCCTGTTTGACTGTTCGACTAGACTGATAAGGAATCACTGTCTAGTTTTGAGAGTTTGCCAGGAACATCAACAATAGTGAGAAACATGGGATTATTTTAGCATAACAGACTTTGCCCGTTATGCTAAAATTACCCCATGTTTCCCACTATTGTTGATGTCCCTGGCATACTCTCTAAACTAGAAAGTGATTCCTTAATAGATCAATGTCGCTCAAAAAATGTATTTATAATTTAGTTTAGGTTTCATTATCATAACCCTAGTAGTGTCTTAGCGGTTTTCAATTTATACAGTTACACTAACGTCCGATTTCAACAATAGTTATAGCTAGATAATGTACTGAATTTTTCCTTTCTCATTGTGACGTCATTATCAGATGTGCACAAGAAAGACGCCTTAATCACATAAATTGCGTACCCAGTTTTAGTGACGTCAGCAAACCCACGACCTACGTTAAATGTTATTTGACATACGTAGTTTGGATAGTGATAGTTCAAAAAATATGTTTCTTTTTGTGTTTCGTCTAAAGGAGGCGTTTTCGTTATTGCCCAATCATGACAAGAGCACATGGTGAGAGTGACTGATTGGCAGAACATGCTCACTCCTCCATGGTACCTGATCCCTTCTCTGATGTTTTTAGGTCCGTGTTTGCACTGCTCCGATTTGTATTTTTTTATGGACCTTGGTATTGAATACTGTTTGGAATCTACATAGCCTTCGTCTGTTCTTTTGCAAACAGTCATTAGCCTTGATTGGACATAGAACTAAAGTGGCGGTTTACAGTTTCTAAAATCTGGCATCATGAAAAAATCATAAGAATACGACGAATCGAAAAATTTGAAAATTACAGACAATAAAGTTAAATTGATTTTCAATTAAATAGTAACAATTTTTTATTCAAAGTATTACTATACTTATTCCTTATTCTATCTTTTTGCCCAATTTCTTAAGGCATCATTGCGCCGACACAATATAACAAATCTAAGACGACTATGGCAAATATGTAAAGTGCTTGGAAAATACTCATCTGTAGGAAGTGGGTTTAAAAATTATAGATAAACAGTATCCAAAAAAGTCGATCAATTTCATTTATGAATACGTATGGTAGAATTATACAAATGTAACATTATACGATTTATTATATAATTAAAAGTCCCCTTTAAAACATTGACTTTGAAAAAACAAGATACTGGATTTAATTACTATTTACCTTTTCTATGAGCTATATAATACATTTAAGGGTAACATCTCGTACTAAAGTTCGATAATGTTTAATTTAAATGCATAGAATATGACCATATTTTGCGCAAAATTCCATATGAGCTTAAAAAGTGCGCGGGGCTGTATTTACGACTCACCTATAAATGTTTTTCACTTCCATTCATATGCCAAACCTTATATATTCCAGTAAACTTGAGCAAAATGAGACCGCTGAGATTGTCACATCTGTTTCATAATTTGATGTTTTACAGACTATAGACAATAAAGACCAATTATCAGCTAAATTTTATTACAATCGAGATGACGATCACTTTTCGATTGTCAATTTTCCTTATGTACAGAAGGATAAGGAAAAACGAACAGTATTCAATCTCAACGTCCATTAAACAAATATACAAAATAAGAGCAGAGCAAACACGGACCTCCGAAACATCAGAGGTTGGATCAGGTGCCATGGATGAGTGGGCATCCCCTGCCGACCGGTCACGCCCGCCGTGTTCTCGTTGTCATAATCAGGAAATAACGGAAAAAATCCGTGGTCAATTCAGTGTATAAATAATGAACTAACCATTGGTATGAAAAACTTCAGTCAGCATTTTATTCAATGATAAATTGTACTTGCTGACAAGGTCATTGCATCAATATCCGACTATCACCAGCATAAAGATGATACAGGCGAATTAACAACTACAATATATAACAAACGTTAGCTAAACAATTTTCAATTTTCCTAATGTATGTATGAATATACATGTATATCCGACTATCATTTGCGGATGGTGTTTACATCTCCCAACTTATATGATACTCACAAGCATGCATGGAGTACTTAAACTAACATTTAAAAAAAAAAACTATGCTACTCATATGTAAATTGATGCTACAGGGATTTCAACAGCCTTGTTTAAAGTCAACTTTTCGTAAATATTCAAGTCATTACAATGACTGCTTTGAAATACTGTGGTTTCATCAATATTAGTTGAGCACCAATTTTCGTGGATTTCGTTGTTGAGCAGATCCACGAATTCAAATGTTCATCGAAATACGAAATATGACATTCACTTGTAAAGGAAATTCTTTTGTCCACGAAATTACGTATCCTCGAAACTGTCTGTTTTACAAAATCCACGAAAATTGATGCCAACGAAAATTGATGAAACCACAGTATAACTTATCACTGTTACTTTATTTACTTATACAAAGGCTTGTCTGTCAACACAAAGACATTTTTATATTCTCGGACAGTCACAAAATACGAAACAATTTAGCTATATATTTAGGAGATTCCAATTAATATATAAATTTGAGGGAAGGATTTTTACCTTTACTTTTCTTTTTTTCATTTATTGATTTTACTTTTCTAAATGAAGATTTAATAAACGTTTCTTCAGTACAACTCTATATGCTACCATGTAATTTTCATCTATATAAACTGTAAAAATAAAAAGCATGTAGATATATGCCAAACATATAGTTTTTCTCGTGAACAATTGTTATATTAGATGTTAAGTTGTACTAGTAACTAGTTACAAAGGTTTTTCAGATACTTCTGTTTTTGTATGAATGTGCTCATCATATATATGATTCACTTGTCCGATTGCACACAGTATCAGAACAGATAGTGTAATGTCACAATATATCTTATTTCCTCTGACTTGCTTTATATTAAAGATAGTCCTGCCTCTTTATGTGTCTGCATACGCACACTCTCTTTTCTCCGTAGCGTAATCCAAACCAGGGGAAATGAAATTTGTCGTCATAACTCACACAAGTTGGTCTGATTATCCCTTGTTGTGTTTTCAGTATCAGAGACCGGAAGTGGCCGTTCTTGTCAAGCATCTGTATTGTGTGAGTGTTACCATCACACATCAGGATGTGTGACAGCGCGTCAGTACAAATTCCACGTGGTTCTAGTCGTGATCCTGATGGAGGACCTCTGTAGGAGAATCGATGACTTCCTCTACTCTCTGTCACTACTACAGCACGACGGAGAAAGTCGGACACAATTATATCTCCATTGCGGTTCTCTGTAATGTAGATAGGATCACTATACAGTCATTGACCTGTGTTTCCATGCTGTATAGTTTGTTGTTTGTTATAGCGTGTTATAATGCCTGTTTTGTAGGACCGAATCCCGACCAGCAAATCGCCGTTGAGGTGGGAGGAGTAGACACACTTTGGAACCCATGGTTCTGCTTTCTCTTTCAGTGTAGTCTTTGTTCTGTTAGCTTTAGAGATTTTGATTATGTTACCACCCCTGTCTATGTAAATAAGATCACCGGCTGGGTTTACAGTGTGTTGTCCCCAGTCGAATATTACATCTGTCAGATGATGTAGTTTGTCACCATCTGCGTTTACCAAGATGAGACTTTTACCATCACTGATCCAGACCTGGTCTGTTGTCACACAGGAAATATGATATATTTCGCCTGGCACTGTGACAGACCTGTGTAAGACAGGCGTAGACATCAGTTTCAGCAAACATTCATTTGTTACTTGTCTTTTTCCTGTCTCTATTATTTGGATTCCACTCAGTAAATCAGTCACATCCTCTATGTTGATTTCTCCTTTCAGGCAGACCATAGCGTATTGTGTGAGACTGGAAGTGTCCATTAACTTGTGTACATGAGTGTTCTTTAGGAATATAAGGAATTCTTGCGGTTTGTTTGCCAAATGGCCAGATGTGTGTTCAAAGGTTTCTATACGGGGAAGATGATTGTTTTTCTAATCTGTTGTTGAAATCTTTGAATAAATCTTCTTTGTCTTCTTTTAACATCACAGATTACAGCGTCTATTACATTCCTTAGTTTCTGGGCTTTAATCAACATCTTTGACTGACGGTTGGAGATCTCTGTTTGACACTTATTCATATCAAATCTGATTCCTGCCAGAAGACAACATTTGTTAAAGAGAGTCTCACTTCTGATATTGTGAACGATTTGTCTGTATTTTTGACGGTTTGCTTAGTATGCTATTCTTATATTAAGTATTTAATGATATCTTTGTTCAGTACATTGGAAACAGATAGGTGTCACAATTGATGTCCATATTTGTTTTCCATATGTTTTATCTGAATTCTACATTACCAATATTATTTGCCCGATATGTTTACCATACTTTAAAGGTTGTTTAGCGGGTTTTACCTGGTGATTTAAATCCCGTGATTTGAGAAATCAGATTGGGCGTAGCAACTGAAGAGAGCGGTCGAGTTTTAAGACAGCTCAAGTTTCCCCTGTTTTGTTCTATGTTTCTATAATTTCATGACCAGAGGTCCACCTATTCTGGGTAAGTGTATTTTATTTATTATCGTTAAATGTATGATTTATTGACGGTATTTTATTCCTGAAATGGCCACAAAACTTTGTTCTATAATTTCATTTGTAAGTTAGATTCAAAGTAGTATTTGCTCAAGTAAAGTATTATGTGTTATAAGTAAAAGTATAAGTGTATGAGTATATGTATAATGTAGACGTAGTGTGGTATGTATAAAGTATGGCGTATAGTATTCGTCTTAAAGTGGTTGTCTACAAGTAATACACTTAGTTTATGTGTGAACGTAAATGTTCTATGAAGTAAAGTAGTATGGAGTGAAGTGAAGTGAAGTAAAGTATAAGTACAGTGCAGTAAAATGCAACTAAGTAAAGTGTTATGCAGTAAAATGCACCTAAGTAAATGTACAGCAAAATGTACAAGTATGAGCAATTATATGTATAATTATGTCTGTATCTAACTTTGTTTTATTTTATAGGCCCCATTTATTTAGGCCAGCTATCCTTTATGCCATCCAGCAGGAAGCCATTGGGCCATGTAGAAACGCGTGTATTTGTACATTATTGTAAATAAAACTTTTTATATATACAAAACTGTATTGTGATTTGGGAAGCCGCCAGCCACCCTGTGACAAATTGGTGTCAGAAGTGGGATACCAATCCCAGGAATTCAGTCCCAGGATATCCAAGGATATCAACGTTAACACAGGACGACGTCAGGATACACAGTCAACCTGGAAACAGATTCCAAGTACAAGTGGTGTCTTCGGTTATGGAACCTCGTAGAGGAAATCTACATGTCACCGACAGTGCCTGATGTTCTTAAGCAAGACGACTTGAATCCTACAGGAAATTCACTTAACAGTTTATATTTCAATTGAACATTTATTGTCAAACTGTAAGAAAAGAAAACAACTACTGAAAGCATTTTACAATTCATACCAAAGACTGTTATAAAAGTAGTTAGAAAAGTGAATTACTTGACTTGAAATCTAGTGAATATTTCATACATGTTCTCTTATTGTATTCTGTATGTACCTGAAGTCTGTAATTGTTCTCACTTTTGCAATTGTTATTGTAGGCAATGTTCCATGGTCATTTGGGGTCCAGAAGGTTTCTAGAAGTAGTGAGGGGTGGACTTCCTCAGAGTATGTGGAGACTGGTCAGGGTAAAAGTAGTGTGGTAAATAAGTCAAAAGTAATAACAGTTGTGTCGCCTAATCTCAAACTTTCAAATTCAGTAGGAAGTAAAATTCCGAGTACAGTAGTGACATTAGTAGTACTTATACATGTAGTACCACAGTATAAAGAAAGTAGAATTCAAAGTACAGTAGAGTCGTTAGTAGTACATGTAGAAGTGCAGTATATAAGTGGTCACACAAAGGTGTTAGAAAGGTCTAGGTGTTATGTTGAAAAGGTCATGTCCGTAAAAATGGACTCGGTACAAGATTTAATCGCTGCAGGCGAGAAGTTAGGTTATGAAAAAGAAGAGTTAAGAAATTATGTTACAGAACAACAGAAATTACAGCGTGAAGAGAGAGCAGCGGCTCGACAGAGAGAAAAAGAAGAGCGAGAATATCAGCTTGAGATGGAACGCATGTATCATGAGATGAAGATGAAGCAGCTACAAGAGGAACACGAATTAGAACTAGCAATTAAAAGTGCACAAGGTAAGGTTAGTGATGTTATGGTAAAACCTAGTGTACCGAAAATTCCTCCTTTTGACGAAAACAAAGACGAAATTGACAGCTATTTGAGAAGGTTTGAGAGGTTTGCGACAGCCATGAATTGGGAAAAGACTTTATGGTCGACACACCTCAGTGCTTTATTGAAAGGGCGAGCTCTAGATGTATATGCTCTTATGTCCACGTCAAAAGTAAGTGACTACGATGATTTTAAAGCAGCTTTACTACGTAGGTACGAAATGACAGAGGATGGTTTTAAAAAGAAATTTCGTTCTTGTAGACCTGAAGTTGGGGAAACATTTTCTCGGTTCACTGTTAGGCTTGCATCTTACTTGACTCGGTGGGTCGAAATGTCCAAAATTACTTGTTCATTTGAGGCTCTTTTCGATCTTATGCTTAGAGATCAAATGTTACATGTGTGTAATTTTGAGTTGGCTGTATTTCTAAAGCAGAATGTTCCAAAGACAGTGGATCAGATGAGTATGTTAGCTGATCAGTTTAGGGAAGCTAGAAATACTAGTGCTATCAATTTGTGCTCAAAGGCAGTAAACAAACCCGAGGTAAGTAAGGTACCAGAAAAACCCAAAGATGCCCGTCAGCATCAGCAACAGAAGCAAAGGTTTGTTCCAAACAATGAAAGAAAATGTTTTGTATGTAACAAATATGGTCACATTGCACCCCAGTGTAAATTTAAAAGTAAGAACTTAAGTGCAGCAGTGTGCAAGGATGAACGTGGGAAAGTTCAAGCAAATGGTAGTGATGCAAATCCAAGTAACTGCGCAGCGCTTATTTACAGTCAAAACCCGTCTATTTATAGTCAGGTAAGTGACCATACAACCGTTTTAACATCAGCATGTCATTCTACAGCGAAACCAATGCCTCTTTCAGCTGGTTACGTTGAAGGTCATCCAGTTACTTTACTGAGAGATTCAGGATGTCGAAACATTGTAGTGCGTAAGAGTCTGGTAAAAGAGGAAAACTTTACAGGTAGACAAGAAACGTGTGTTTTGGCAGACAACACGAGAATAGTGGTCCCAGTGGCAAAGGTTGTCATTGATTCTCCTTATGTCTCTGGTGAGTATGAATGTTGGTGTATGGAAAATCCTGTCTTTGATCTGATTATAGGGGAAGTAGAGAATGCGAGGAAACCTCATGATCCGGATCCAGAATGGAAACCTAACACTATCACAGCGGTAGAAACAAGACAACAGGTAAAAGAAAAACAGAAAAAGTATAAACCACTTAAAGTTCCAGAAATCGTCAAAGATGAAATCAACCCAGATGACATATTGCGAGAACAGCAGTCAGATCCGTCACTTGAAACAGCACGCAGATATGCACAGGAAGGTCGAAGGTCACGTGATGGTAAGGTCAAGTGGTTTGAAAAGAATGGTCTTCTGTACAGGGAATATGTGTCAGCAGAAAAAGACGGTGGTAAGACCTATTCTCAACTTATAGTCCCATCAAAGTTTCGCCATATTGTGATGAAATTAGCCCATGAATCGATCATGTCTGGTCATTTAGCGATTAGTAGAACCATTTCTAGGATTTTATCAGAGTTCTTTTGGCCAGGAATGCAGTCGGAGATTAAACGATTTTGCAGGTCATGTGATACATGTCAAAGAACGGTGTCTAAGAGTACGGTAACTAAAGTCCCTTTAGGTAGAATGCCTTTAATAGACGTGCCTTTTAAAAGAGTTGCTGTAGACATTGTAGGTCCACTGCACCCTCAAACCGAAAAAGGTAATCGTTTTATTTTGACTTTAGTCGATTACGCCACAAGATTTCCACAAGCGAAGGCGCTTCCAGGAATAGACACAGAGCGGGTTGCTGAGGCCTTACTTGAGATGTTCTCCTATACAGGTATTCCAGAGGAAATATTAACAGACATGGGAAGTCAATTTACTTCCGGGCTCATGAAAGAGGTGAGTAGACTCATTTCGTTGAAACAGTTAACAACTACTCCGTATCACCCTATGTGCAACGGGTTAGTTGAACGGTTTAACGGCACTCTTAAGCAAATGCTTAAACGTATGTGTATTGATAGACCAAGAGACTGGGGCAAATATCTACCCACTGTGCTTTCGCCTATCGTGAGGTGCCCCAGGAAAGCTTGGGTTTTGCTCCTGTTGAGTTGTTATTTGGTCGTACAGTGAGAGGACCCATGACGATCCTGAAAGAACTATGGACGAAAGAAGTTCCAGATCAACAGGTAAAGTCTACCTACCAGTACATTTTAGATCTCCGCGAGCGAATGGAATCAACTTGGGAGTTGGCACAGGAGAATCTTAAGAGGGCGTCACAAAGACACAAAGTGTACTTTGACAAGAAGGCTAGAGTACGAAATATGAAACCAGGTGAGAGAGTTTTGGTTTTGTTGCCTTCTGATAGTAATAAGCTCCTTATGCAATGGAAAGGCCCGTTTCAAATTGTGAAAAAGATAGGTAAAGTAGATTATCAGTTAGCTGTGAAGGGAAAAGTAAAGACCTATCACGCAAACATGTTAAAAAGATATGTAGAACGTTGTGAACCAGTTGTTCAATGTGTTATGTCAGTTGTAGATTCAGAACAAATTCAGTTTGATGAATCAGTTGGTGAGTATGATGAAGAAACAGAGTTCGTACACGTACAGTCTCGAGAATCCTACAAAGATGTAGATGTGAATCCAGATCTCAACAGAGAGGAGAGACAAACTCTTATGGATCTCTTACACAGGTATAGTGACGTTTTAACAGATGTACCAGGCCACACGCATGTGCTTGAACATGAAATCAGAACAACAACGGATAAACCTGTGAGAGTAAGTCCGAGACAAATCCCTTTTGCTATGATGGAAACAGTGAAAGATGAGGTACGTAAAATGTTAGAAATTGGGGTAATAGAATATTCGGAAAGCCCATATTCATCCCCAATAGTCCTTGTTGCAAAGAAGGACAACACATATCGGTTTTGCGTCGATTTTAGAGCTCTGAATCGCATTACTGTGTTTGATGCGGAGCCTATGCCTGATGTTGACGCGATGTTTGCGAAATTATCAGGTCATAAATACTTCTCACGGTTAGACTTGTCTAAGGGGTACTGGCAAGTGCCATTGTCTGATTCTGCCCGTCCAATGACAGCTTTTCAGACTCCCCAAGGACTTTTCCAGTTCACCAAAATGCCGTTCGGGCTGGTCACAGCTCCGGCTACTTTTTGTCGTCTTATGCGCGAGGTGCTCAACAACGTTTCTAATGTTGATAATTTCATAGATGATATCTTGATATTTACTCATACTTTTCATCAACATATCTCTGTGCTTTCTCAGGTTTTACAGCGTCTCCGTTCAGCGAATCTCACCGCCAGACCAATGAAATGTTCTTTGGCTTATAGGAAACTGGAGTGTTTGGGCCATATCATAGGCGATGACAAAGTACATCCTCATCCAGATAAAGTGTCGGCTATACAACAGGCGAACCATCCTACGACGAAAAAACAACTGCGATCTTTTCTAGGACTGGTAAATTTTTACAGAAAGTTTATCCCGAATTTTGCCCATATAGCTCTCCCATTAACAGACCTCACAAGGAAGTTCGCTCCTAGTAAAATTCAGTGGACAGAAGCTCAGGAATTAGCATTTCAAAATCTAAAAGCTTCTATTATTCAATCTCCGATTTTGAAATTACCAGATCTTTCCAAAGTTTTCATTGTACAGACTGACGCATCCGACAGGGGTATTGGAGCGGTACTTTTACAGGAAGAAGGTGAATTCAAACTCCCTGTTGCCTATGCCAGCCGCAAACTTAAACCAAGTGAAGAACACTACTCGACGATAGAAAAGGAATGCTTGGGTATCATTTGGTCAGTGCAAAAGTTTCACAGGTATCTCTATGGCAAAGAGTTTATTTTAGAGACAGATCACCATCCGCTGGTATATTTGAATAAGACGAAGTTAGTGAACTCCAGACTAATGAGATGGGCATTGTCACTTCAGCCGTACCGATTCCGCATCAGGGCTATCAGAGGGAAGGACAATGTAGGAGCGGATTATTTAAGCAGACAGTAAGAATCCGTCAGTAACTGTATATAAATAAAGTTGATGAATGAAGAATTTTATCTTGTTTTATCTTATGTTTGAAAAGTAAAAAAAAAATATTGTACATAAATTGTGTTTGAAAAAAAATTACATGTATGTAATTTTCTTTAAAGGGGGAAGGTAATGTCACAATTGATGTCCATATTTGTTTTCCATATGTTTTATCTGAATTCTACATTACCAATATTATTTGCCCGATATGTTTACCATACTTTAAAGGTTGTTTAGCGGGTTTTACCTGGTGATTTAAATCCCGTGATTTGAGAAATCAGATTGGGCGTAGCAACTGAAGAGAGCGGTCGAGTTTTAAGACAGCTCAAGTTTCCCCTGTTTTGTTCTATGTTTCTATAATTTCATGACCAGAGGTCCACCTATTCTGGGTAAGTGTATTTTATTTATTATCGTTAAATGTATGATTTATTGACGGTATTTTATTCCTGAAATGGCCACAAAACTTTGTTCTATAATTTCATTTGTAAGTTAGATTCAAAGTAGTATTTGCTCAAGTAAAGTATTATGTGTTATAAGTAAAAGTATAAGTGTATGAGTATATGTATAATGTAGACGTAGTGTGGTATGTATAAAGTATGGCGTATAGTATTCGTCTTAAAGTGGTTGTCTACAAGTAATACACTTAGTTTATGTGTGAACGTAAATGTTCTATGAAGTAAAGTAGTATGGAGTGAAGTGAAGTGAAGTAAAGTATAAGTACAGTGCAGTAAAATGCAACTAAGTAAAGTGTTATGCAGTAAAATGCACCTAAGTAAATGTACAGCAAAATGTACAAGTATGAGCAATTATATGTATAATTATGTCTGTATCTAACTTTGTTTTATTTTATAGGCCCCATTTATTTAGGCCAGCTATCCTTTATGCCATCCAGCAGGAAGCCATTGGGCCATGTAGAAACGCGTGTATTTGTACATTATTGTAAATAAAACTTTTTATATATACAAAACTGTATTGTGATTTGGGAAGCCGCCAGCCACCCTGTGACAATAGGAAGTTTACAGGAATAACAATACTTTTGATGAAACATGACTGGATGTCTCTTTCAGGTCTCTTGTTTAGATATGTATCCATATTTCTCACGATAAATCACAACATCATGGTATATGGTATCCAGATCTATAACGTGTCTCTCTTTACACTGTAGACACAGGTCATGCCTACACGTGTTACAGTAGAATTCTGTGTCACCCTGACATAGAAAACACAGCCGTTCTTTACATTGTATAGTAAAACCTTTTTTGTTATGATGTGTTCGATATAGCACCACTTTATGGTATTTAGTTTCTGATTTTGTAACATGTCTACTTTTACAATGAGGTCACAGTCCATGTTTACACGTGTTACAGTAGAATTCTGTGTCCCCTTGACACTGGAAACACTGACGTACTCTACACGGGGTGTTGTATCCTAGAGCGTCCATGATTTACAGGATTTAGTTGTTATAATTGCAATCTGCTGAAACTAAATAAAATCAAATTGTATTAACCACAATACCAGGTCAGAAAGCATGATTGTAAAAGTTTAAAAAGAAGAAGATGAACTTAAGGACAGATGATGCGTTCACCAAAAAAATACCTAACTTTTTTCAAGACTTGTCATTGAAGTTAGTTTAATATGTTTACATAAAAAATGGAGGTACTTTAGTTACCCCAACCCTGCATAATAGCAAAGAGTAGAGTTTCTTATTTTACCTTATGGGGAAAATCAAATCTTACGAAACCAACTTTTTTTGCTTCAATTTTTTTAAATGATCAGAAACTGGTTTAGAAGTCAGGTTGTTATAGAACTTTTGAATATTTTATATACAATATAAAGTATTTAAAACAGAGATTTTATGAACTTATCGTATGACCTTAATAAAACTTCATTGGTGCAAAATCTCGAACTAAATTAATGTAATTTAGGTTGTGTGTTTACAATATTAATATACTTCATCTTCAAATTTCGAAATTATAATTTATTAATTTATGTATGAGGGCAATATAAGTTTTGAGGGACCCAAGGACCAAAAGTATTTGCCCTTCTTAAACAATCAAATGCTTTCTTTGGTTGTTGTCACTTAAGAAAAATTAGATTTAAGGTCCGCTCGCATAATCGAGCATGGGAGGGATCTAACTGCTAATGTTAATTAGATTGTTGTTGCAGCTATTGCAGAAAAAATGCATTACCCGCTTACGTGTAATATTTTGATTATGACTAGATTGTACAACATAGAAGAAGTCGAGCATGCAATATACTTTATAAAACGAGTTATCGTTCATGATGTCACTAAGTCACTTGAGACATACTTATAGATATAATGACATGCATTTCACTAGTTATTTACTGTAATTTTCAAATGCAATTTAACATAGGATTTTTCTATATTACATGTAAATCGTATGCGTACAATTGAAATGCCGGTGTATATAAAAGATTGATTGATTGTATGTTGTTTAACGTCTCTCTCGAGAATTTTTCACTCATATGGAGACGTCACCGTCTTCCGGTGAAGGGCTTCAAATTTTGACCTTACTCGGCACTCAGGGCCATTGAGCAGTGAGCAGTGAGGGATCTTTACCGTGCCAACGCCCGCCGCTGACACGGGGCCTCGGTTTCTAAGGTCTCATCCGAAGGGCCCGCAACTTTCACTTCAAAGTGCCGAGCGCATGGCAAAGGAACAGTTGCTACCCATTTTAACGAATAGGTCGGTCTAGGCCGATATACGAACTCATGACCTCCCGATCACGGAGTGAGCGCTCTACTGACTGAGCTACCGTGAACGGTGTATGATTATAAAAGAATTATCAATCTAAATAATAATCAAACATGGATAAATTACAAACAACTGAGTATTGATCTTAATGAAAATTTAAATAAGTTGAGGTATACTATTAAATGTATTTTCTTTCTATATTTTGTTTGTATTTCGGCTAATACAGTTTTGTTGTTTTGTGCATTGCGAATAGAAAATGCGCTTTAGGGGAGTTATAATCTAGAGGAGGCAGACAGGTACCGTTACAGAAGGTCATATAGGATACAAAGAAATGTTTTTAGATGCTGTCTTAAGGTCCCCGATCAAATTTTTCACTCATGGGAAAATTAACAATTGCCGATCCACGGCCGACCAGTCACACTTGCCGTGTGCTTCTTGTCATTGTGTCATATTCGAAAAATAACGGGAAAGTATGTTGCACTTCAGTGTGGAAAAAAATGGTCTAACAATTAAAAAGAAGACCGTCAGTCAGGACTTGACTTAAATGAATTGTATTTGTGTTGATCAAATAGAAGCAAAAATCATTGATAAGTCATAATTGGGAATGTAAAAATAATACCCTATGAGTTGAATCTATTGAGTAAGGATTAAACTTGTGATCAAAATAATTATGATAGTTTGGGACCAATCGCCCAAATGAGATACAATAGTCCGTTTGTGAAATAATTTCCAAAAAAAGTCTATAAAGTTACAGTGCAAGAATCATTTTTGTTAATTTTGCAATAAAAATCATAAATCTGCATCAGTACACTTAAAAATGATTAACTTTTGGTCGTCAAAATTTTCTGTATGCCTATTGTTTACGAGATTGATTCCTAGGAAGTTCCTTAACTTTTGGGGGATCTTAAAAATTGTATCATATGTATGGTTGCAGAAAAACCTTGCTTACCGAAATTTCTTTATATTCCCATTACTAATTTTTCTCTCTGTCATAACTCTTTGAAAGTTAAAAGAGTTTCTTAATAATTCTGCCAGAATATAAATTAGACAAGTCTATAGGTCAGGAGCTACTATTATCTCGTGCATATCTATCTCTGTGCCTGACGCTAAGGAGGCCAAATATGCATGTTAATCTCTTGCGGCTGTCTTTGTGTTTGAAAACTATCGAAATTGCCATGGGAGTCCACATGGTATTTATATTTAAGTAAGGAGGCCAAATATGCATGTTAATCTCTTGCAGCTGTCTTTGTGTTTGAAAACTATCGAAATTGCCATGGGAGTCCTCATGTTATTTATATTTAAGTATACATTTTTACAGTCTAAATTTACAATTTTATTTTACAATGAAATTGAAATATAAAGAATCACTGATAGTCAGGAGAGTATGCATGGGACATCAACAATTGGGAGAAACATGGAATAATTTTTGCATAAAGGGCGAAGCATAATTTGGGGAAAATTATCCCATGTTTCTCACTATTGTTGATGCCCTGACAATCAGTGATTCCTTAATTAAGTGTTTTGATGCGGATTCATGATATTTATTGCCAAAATTAAAAAAAAATCAATTTTTGCACTATAAGTTTTATAGCCCATTTGGGATATTATATCCCAAACGGGCTATAATATCCAATTAAGGCAATTGGTACCAACCTGTTATATTGTACAATCAAAACGATATGGTGACCATCTTCCGCTGAAAACATTTTAAGAAAGTTAAAAAAAGTTACAAAGTTATCTTACATCAATAAAATGCACCTAAAACCCGCCGTCAAATGTGAAACTTTTCATTCATCGACTGGGTATTTAAACATTTAAAATCATACATGTACTAGATACGATTGAATAAACACAAAGTACTTAAATATATTGCAGCAACATATTTTGACAAAGTAAAGGTAAAATTGACCTAGCAAGTGTATAAAACTTTATCAATCTATTGTCTATATTTACCAACATTTAAACTGTTTATACCCAAACATTTGGGGTATATTACTACACTATATATATAAAGTTAGAATAATTTGGATTATCATCATTATATCATGCAAAAGAGCTATTGAATGTTATAAATAAAGTCAAGGTATATAATTTCCATTGAATTAATATATTTCCAGATGGAAAAGTATTAACCAAAATGATTTTTAACGCCATATGTCCAGGCTATTGAATCAATTCTCTATTAAAAATGTTTTCTCATAGAAACTGTTCGCTTAATCTCTCTTTTATTAGAAATGATTGAAAAATGAATTCAGTGGAACAGACTGAAATCCATATGAGTCGGCATTCACACACCAGCACACACGCAAGTAACTTTATTACATATAACTTTTACGATAGGATGAAAAACACCATGTTTTTCTGCATCGAAAAATTCAATTGGAAAATAAATTCAGATAGGTAATATGTAAACTTGTTTTAAAACGCTTATTCCGTTTATATAAATTCATGAATTAAAAAAAATATACTATACGTTCACTACTTTCATGCAAACAGATTTTAAAAATTTTACTTTTTTGAATATTTTATTTAAAAGTTTTAAAGCTCTAAGGTTCAATTGTTTAAACAATTTTTTTCGCCTGTTTTAGTAGAAGCATAGTAAATAGGCAAATACTAGTAAGGGAAGGATATGGAAATAACGAGCAGTATTCACTCTCAACGTCCATTAAACAAATATACAAAATAAGAGCAGAGCAAACACGGACCTCCGAAACATCAGAGGTGGGATCAGGTGCCATGGAGGAGTGAGCATCCCCTGCCGACCGGTTACACCCGCCGTGTGCTCGTTGTCATAATCCGGAAATAACGGAAAAAATCCGTGGTCAATTCAGTGTATAAATAATGGACTAACAATTGGTATGAAAAACGTCAGTCAGCATTTTATTCAATGATAAATTGTATTTGCTGACAAGGTCATTGTATCGACCATAGAATTTACGAAATGATGACTTTAAACGAGACTGTTGTGAATGGTTGATATACCGTAACTTAAGTTATTTCTGATCCTTAATTAACTTTTTTGTTTAATTTTGTGCCAGCTGAGCCCTGTTTTACTTGAACACAACATTTGTATATTTCTTCCAATGGCCTCTACTATGATCTGAAAAAAATGATTTATGTATATTGTATGATATAATCAAAAGAGATGGTGAATTGTGCTGTTCTTGTCTTTTTTCTTACATATGTACACTAAACGCCGTGCTTGTCTTTGCCTTATTATATATCAATAACGTTATGGTTTTGCATATTTTTTTTTGGCCATGGTCAATTATATATGCAAGGACATACCGTATAAGTAGAATTTTCAGCGAGGATCTAATTTTGGCATTATTAGCGAAGGCGCTGAGATTGCTAAAATTAAATATCGCTAGTAATAAATTGCATTTAATTTGTAATAGCTTCTTTAATGTGACATTTTAAAATCGCTAAAATAACATCTCGCTAAAATAAATTACAAGTTTTAAAGGACAAATCGCTAAA